TTATGTATATGTGTAAAAAAAGTTAAAAAAATAATATTATATTTTCAAAATAAATTATAACGGTATATAACGATATATAACGATGTTACTATAGTGTTAATAATAATCAGTGATTCTCAAATATCGACAATTAAAATATTAAATATTTTTTTTCTGTATTATTTTAGATAAGTTAGCAATGTTTGCAATGTTTCATGTTTTTAAATTTTGATACTACGTGTTTAATTTTTTAGAGATGTCAATGTCAGTTTGGGTTGCTATTTTTGCAATGGAGAAATTAACGTTCAAAAAGGCTTGAACTATTTATTTCATAAAATTATTGGATGTACATTGATCAATTAATATTAATCTTGAGATTTCCCAAAGTAAATCTAGATGACAATACTTCAACGAATATAAAATGCTAAGAAATTGTTTCTATCAACAATGCGACATTTAAAGCAGCTTTGGAAAGCTACACAGTACGTGCAATTTGTGATATTTCACCCCATTATTAAATTAGTTACTTTCTTTACAGTTGAAGTTTATTAATTTTCTATTGCTAAATAATATTAGTTCTATTTTAATGTAGCGTTTGAATTATAATTAAGATTTTTGACAGAATTTATAAAACTTTTATTTATTTAATTAAATTTCATTAATTTGATATTTTTTTTCTTATAAGTTTTAATTGTTTTAAAACAATTTTTATGTAATAATTAATTGTATAAAATTTAATTATATTTAATATATTGCATATTATTTATAAATTTTAAAATACAAAAATAATAATTAATATAAAAAATAATTAAGGTATAATATCTACAACAATTGAATTCGATGAAATTACAAAATAAAATCCTATATTATAATAAATGCAAATTATTCAATACTATTTTTTTGTAAATAAAATTTTATTAAAAATTAAAATAAAATTACATATATAGTATGTTATTTAAAAAAAAATACTATTAATATTTAAGGATAATACAAAAAAAATAAGTAATAACGCTTTTTACATACAGAATTATTGAGGGCGTCTACCAAAATTTATTTGACCTATCTAACATTAATTTGAAATATTCAACAATACAGTTTTAATTACTGAATAAGTTCAATTGATATTAGATCCGAAATTCTGGTAAACGCCCTAAGAATGAAAATATTATTAAAATATATTTAGAGAATCACTGATATACATACACTCAAATTGTTATATTTGTTTTAAATTAATTAATTTTGTTTTGATTTTGAATTTTATTGGATCATAGTAATATAAAAATATAAACAGAATATATCTATGTAAATTATTGCAATATTGGGAGGAAAAATATTTAAATATGCAAGATTTTATTATTATTATTTCATTACAAATGACTTAATTTAATTTTTTACTACAATTCTATACGATAATCTATAAATTCCTAAAATTGTTTTAAATTTCTAATGATTAAAAAACAAAAATTGTTTTAATTTTTTACCATCAAATTTTCGACATTAAATATTGAATTTATAAATATTTTGAACAAGAAAAATTTTTAATTTAAATTTTTTTTTTTTTAATATTCCAATTTATATATTAAAATTATGCGTAAGGTTTTTTATTTTTGTTTTTTAATAAATTTTTTTAAAAATAAATAATTTTAATTTTATAGTCAAATAAATAATTTTATTTTTTAAAACCTCATTTTTAAAATAATTTTATTTGCCAATTAAGTTGCTTCTGAGCTTTATGAATGATTGGGTGTTGAATTTCTAAAAAAAATCTTAATGGAATTTCGAGAAAAAGCAGATTTTAAAAATGGTAAACAATAAAATTTGTTTAAATTCAATATAAAACTGGGACATTGCTCATATGTGAGCTAAAGAAATTTATAATTAGCAAAAAAAAATTAAAAAATATTGGGATTTAAATAAATAATTAACAAATCTTAATTTTTATATGTGCAATTTATGATTAAAAAAAATTTCTTGTCCAAAAATTAAATTGTCAAATAATTAAAAAAATATAAAATTATAAAAAATAATAAATGTTTTTTTTTAATATTAACACACTTTTTATCTATTTAAATATATATAGAAAATACTGAGAGATTTTTATAATATTTGTTTGCATTTTTAAGGTATTTAAATTTTTATTTTTTCTTAATTAATTTTAATGCTTATGTTATAAGAAATAATTAAGTTTTATTTATTTTATTTGTATTTTATTTATTTTAGTTTATTCTTCATTTAAAATTGAAAATAAAAATGTTCAAATTATTCAAATTTGTTTTGAATAATATTTTATGCTGTAAATGAATTAAAATAAGAAATTGCTTCTATTAAAAAAAAAATCATATATAAATTTAAAAGTTACAAAAAATTAATATTTAAAATTCATTGCTGAAATCAATTATAAATATTTAATATTAAACGATTCTATCATATTAAACTCATATACCAAGAATAATAATTTTAATGTAAATTATTTCCAATTTAAATTTATCTTGAATAACTCTTTAATTTGCGAGTACTAATAAATAATATAATTTGTCGTAAAATAAATTATTTGATTTTACGACAAATATCGTAAATTAATTTTTTATTTAATACCAATATGAAAAAACTATTTCTTACTTAGTTTAATATGATAGTTACCATTTTTTTTTTAATGTGACAAAAAGAAGTTTTTTAATTTGAAATATTTTAAATACATTTCGTTGTATATAAATATATATATATGTATATAAAAATATTGAGTTGCGCACCGGACTATCATTTTAAACTATTTGAAAAATTGAATTTTATACAATAAGAATACATAAACATTAATTATATTTTAAAAAATATTAAAGTACATTTTTGTTTTTTTTTCTAAAATAATTAATTTGTATATTCAAGTTTCGCTTATTTTTTTTTTCTTTGTTATCGTACTGGGCAGTGATTTGTTATATTTAAGTGTTATATTTGTTGAGTATTAATATAAATGATTTTATATTTTAAATTTTAATTAATTTTATCATTTAATAATGTTAGTATTGTGCTTTTGTTTGTTTCTAGATAAAATAAGAATAAATTTTTTTTCCATGTTGTTAAAATAAATAATGCAGTTAATTAATGGGTTTATATTTTATTTAATTGGACACGTTTATATTTCGAATAACATTAAGATGATAACATTTAATTATTAAAAATGAATATTATTTTTGAATTTTTATTTTGTGATTAATTAATACAAGAAAATTTATTATTTTTTTTTTTAAATTTCTACTCTTAATTTTTAAATTATTTGGTTGTAATGCAAGTTGACGAGTTATATGGTAAATTAAATTAAAACTGAATTAATATCATTAAGTGAATTATAAATATTTTGACCGACCTCCCAATCTGGTTACTTACCCTGACATCGGAATTGTAATAATATCATATTAATACAGAACCCACTAATTGACATTTATAAGCTTAATTCTGGCTGTAATAATACTACAATTTCGAACTCAGGGTTTGTATTTATTTAGTATAAATACTAATAATTAAAATAATGTAAATGAAACTATTATGTTTAACATAAGATTAGATTTTCTTTTACACTTTAGAATTCGGATGAAACAATTATTATTGGAAAATATTGTAATTTGCATTATTTATGTATTTAATATTATTAGTTTTCATATTTTAACAATTAATAAATTTTTTCCTCATAATCTCGTAGACGCATCACTTAAGATGGAATATTATTAAAAAATTTTGTAAAATTAATAGTGAAATCAATTTTGAAATTCGAAATTTAAAATTCTAATTATATTAGGTCATGCGTCTAAGAGAATTATGGGTGTTGAATTTATGCTTACTCTCAACATAATCACATAAGTTTAAAAAAAAAGAAAGATTTATGTACCATCCTGTATTTATGTTATCATTTTTAATTATTTAAATATTTTGATTTTAATTAATTGAAAATAACTTGGTATAGATAAATGGTTATATTAATTTCTATTTTCTCTCAAATATTTGTATTTCATCTCAGTATTTTCGTTTTTTATTATTATATAACATACTTCTTTTTTTTTTTTTTTTAATTTCTAACAATAATGATTATATACCCCAAAATCCCATAATATTCTATTACATAATTTATGTAATATATAAAATTGTATTTTAAATTGATTGCAAAATTTATATTTTCATTAGTAAAAGTTTTCTTAATTTGAAAGAATAAAAATCAGAAAAGATGCATAATTTTAGAGCCATAAAAATAATGCTTTTCCCGACTTTTTTTATTTCAAATTATTTTGAATAGCGAAATAATAGACCTACATATAAATTATAAACATAAGAAACTTTTATTAAAATTTAAAATATGTGAATGATATTTATGATTTTTACATTTAGTGATTTATTAAATTTTTAATTCTATTATTATTTCAATATTGAGGCGCTTTAATTTGGAGGCGTAGAATAATTACTCTTAATTATAATTTGTGTTAATGGGGGTAAATTTTTTATTATAAATTGTGATATTGGGGTAAATACATTATTGTACAATGTTTTAGGTATCTAATTAATAAAAGCAAAATAGAAATTGATTTTAAAATGTAAGATTCATAAAAATTTTTGGGAAATTTTGAAATAAATCTAAAGAAAAAATTTTTTTGTTTTGATATTTAACTTTAAAAATTTTAATTTTTTTTTATCTCACACTTTACATCATACTTTTTATATATAAATATGATATAAAAACAGCCTCTTTTTTTTTGTTTTGAATATTTGAGTTTTTTAAATTTTTTATGGATTTTTGTTTTTTTTTTTTAATTTTATATTTAAACATGTTTTTTTTTGAACATGCACTTCAAAATTCAGTGTTTTTTTTTTTTTTAAATACTTGAAACTACGTTTTTACGGTCCCACTTGGTTTTTTTTTATCATTTTGAATTTTTTGTTTTCGGTTCCTTATATTTTTTTATAATTTACTCCTTTTCCTTCTGATTTTTACTAAATTCCTAGATTTTGATTATTTTCGATTTGAAAATTTTAAAGTTTTAAGCGCTACTCTTTGAAACGAATTCATGTAATATATCGCATGCCATTTCAATATTATTTCTTGATATACCTAAAGCAGTAATTGCATTTTCTTTTGAGTAACCTTCTTTCATTAATCTTGCAATATATTCTAAATTTATGTTCTCATACGGGACATTACAGTCTTTATTAGTGATTGTCACATTTTCGTATAGCAATGGATTATGTTGTGTATGCTGTTGTTGTTGCTGATGTTTTTGCTGTTGCGATTGCTGTTGTTGAATTATATGATTACTGCTATTATTTGAATTATTTAATTGGGATGCAGACTGATATTGTATATTGGAAGAGTTTTTTGTTAATGATAAATTATTGGTACTGGAAGAAGAATTTGCACAAGATAAATTAGAATTAATGTTGCTACAGCAACTTGTACTAGCACTACTAAAATGTGAAATGGTTATCGATTTTGAAGGATATTGTTGTTGTTGTTGTTGTTGCTGCTGTTGTTGTTGTCCTTGATATGGTACCGGAGTATGACGATGTTGCTGCTGTTGTTGGTGTTGTTGATATTCTTGACTATAAATTGGATTTGATGAAGCATTTGGAAATGATTGATATCTACCGGAATTGAAATTTGCTTGTGATGATGGTAAAGATGTTGTATTACCATTTATTGTGTTAACGTTATTTGAATTTGTTGATCTAGAATTACATTCTCTATCATTACTGTTTTGAATTGAAACTATAATTGGTTTTCTTGCTTCTAATGGTCGAGTATCAATTATTCCGGTTATTGTTTCAGCTGGGCCTACAACAATATCGTTATCATCATCTAAAAGGTTAATTGGTAAAACTTGAGCATTATTATCACTTCCACTTGTTCCGGCAACACTATTTGAAATATTTGTCTGTTTAATGTTATCACATAAATTATCAACAATATTAATAGTAGCATTTGTATTTGCATTACTCGGCATTGGTAATGTTTTATGTAAAACCCCTGTATTTGGTTGTTGATAAGATGTCGAAGATATAGCAGATGAGGATAAAACTACATTATGTTTTGGTATCGGTGGAGCATTTGTTTTCGGCACTTCTATTTCTGACGTTGTAATTTCAGTTATAGTCGAAGAAATATTTTTATTTGTTGTAACATTATTATTACTGTTCAAACTAATTAAATTTGATGTAGGTGAAACAATACCCGAAATTGATGGCTTTAGTTGGCGAATATTAATTGAGTTATCAATACCGGGAGAAGATTTTCGAGGTGGTAATGGTGGAGCTAATGGTGCACTTATTATAGCAGATGAAGATGATGATGATGATGTTGTAGATGATATATCACATGGTAATTGTACTTGTGCTAATGTAGCAGAACAAGATGATAAAGAACTATTTCCCAAAGAGCCATCACAATTATTTTCAGCGGATATTGCTTTATTTAGAATTTTATTAACTATTTGTTGTTGCGATGTTGAGCTTATAGGAGCGCTCATTCGATTTAAATTTGTTCCGGATGATGCTAAAGCGCCTGTTGTTGCTGATGTTGTTGATGATGATGATGATGATGAAGATGATGAAGCCGACGCTAAAGATGAAGATATTTGGGTCGAAGGCGCTGGCGTTAATGAAGATGTTTTTATTGATGAGGAACAACAGCCAACCATACTCGATAAAATACCATTATTTACGCTATGTAAGGATGGTGCTGATGGTTGTTGTTGCTGTAAGTGCTGTTGTTGCTGTTGTTCTCCTAATAATACTGCCGCAGAAGATGAGTTAACACCTGTTGCTATTGAAGATGCTGATGAGTTTGATGATGATGATGATGAACTATTGGCGATTGAATTCAAAACAATATTTCGTCGTGCTAATCTTGGTGATGAATGAGGACTCTGTTTTTCAGATCTCGATGAATTTATATTATTACTGAGAGCGTGTAAAGATGATGTTGCTATGTTGAATTCACCCAAATCCTGAAGGATTTTATTTTTCACAATTATTTGTATTTTATTTTTAATTATATGAAATTTTATTTACAATAATTTTTTTTTCTATTTGAAATTCATTTTTTTTCACTAATTCAAACACGTATTAATTGAATACAAAATACAAAAAATTAAACTATGTATATTTAGAATATTAGATAAAAAAATTGTACATAACAGGAAAAAAAGCATGCTTTTTGCATTAATTATTAAGAAACCAAATACTAAAACAAACAGGTTACTAGTAGAAAGATATCGAGTAGTAGATCACGCTTGTCAAAGAAATAAGTGAATAATTTAAAATAAAATTAAACACAAGTCGTAATTATTGAAAAAGTTAAAAAAAACACACACGCAAGCAATATTTCACACAATGCTTTTTTTTATTGAGAAAATCAATCAAAACAGTGAATAAAACAAAACCAAATAAAAAATTAATTTTTTTAAATATTTTATTATTGTATATATTTCTTTTTTTTTTTTTAATTTTCTAAATTGTATAAAATCTATTCTTAATAATATTATTTTTTTTTTAAATTCTTTATTATTTAAATGATTAATTCTATTTATATATAAATAATTAGAAACAAAATATATCAGAATTTTTTTTTTGGAAAAATTTTGTTAAAAATTTAGAATAATATTTTCAATTTTGAAATTTGTAAAGAGCAACACTAATTAATTTATTAGAAAATTTAATGTTAGAAAACAAGAGAAAAGAAAGCATTCTATATATTTAAAAAAAGGGTCTTTTTTTGTATTTAGTAAAAAAAGAATTAAACAGAGCGTTCATCAATTTTATTTTAAATGATTGGCAAATAATTTGCAAGTTTTCCCATATTTTTTGATTATTAAAAAAACAATATAAAACCGTACGGGGTAGTTAATTAATGAATAAGTACTTTAAATTTTTTTTAATGATTCTAAATGATATTTTTGCATTAAAAAGCAATTGATTGAATCATTCATTATTAATTTTTTTGATTGATTACAAAAAAAATAAATCAATTTAACTATATTTATTTTGAAAATAATAAAATTATTAAATTATCTTACATATTTGCATTGGTAATTTTTGTTATTTTGAAGAAGACTTTTAAATATAATTAAAAATCCTATTATACAAAATTTATTTTAAAGAATTTTGGTGTTTAGTATATTTTCACATACTCTTGAAGTAATAGTTAATTATTTGAATTAATTTAAAAGTAAGAAAAAAAAAAACACTTTTTTTTAAATATATTAAAATGACCCTCCTCTCTTTTTTTTCTTTTTTAAAAATCATTCATTTTTTGATTTAGAAGTAGTTTTATGTATTTAATATACACACACATATTAGAATATAATTTATTAATTTCTTAATTATAATGAAAATAATTAATTTTATAGTTGTTTATACTTGTATAAAAGTTTTACTGTACAAAATTATTATATAATGATAAAAAAGAACTTAAAATGCAGTCTTAATTTTGAATGTTATACACACATAATAATTAAATTTTTTATATAAAATCATACAATTACTAAAATAAAAAAAAATAAAATAAAATAAAATTTATTTTATAAATAAAATGGCAAACTCTTGAAAAAAAAATATCTAATTTATAAATGTAAATTTTTTTTATTGTAAATTATATGGTAAATATTGAAATTAAAATAAATTGGAATGATGTAGAAAATTATGTTTCTAGCTGAAGATAATCAATAAAATAAAAGAATTTTATGTTTTTAAAAATTTCAACTAAAATTTTTATTTTTTTCCTTGCAATTATTTTTTGTAATTGATTTTTTTTTTTTTTTGGTAGGAAATAGCTTCTTATTGCAAAAAAATATATGGTTTTAGTAAAATTGAAAAAAATTAAATATTATAAAATAATAATAAAAATTTTTCTTCAGCAAAACAAAATTTAATTATTATTTATTTTATTATTAATTAAAATAACCATAATAATAGCAATAAAAAAAAAAAGTTAAAATTTTAAGGAAATTTTATAAATAATGTTATAATAATATATTATATTGAAAATATTTCAATAAAAAATTGTAAATGTGACTAATAAATTTATATTTTTAAATTTTAAACTTTTACAATTTATCCAATATGAAAAAGATAATAACTATTATATACTACTTAAACGCTTATAGTTAAATACATTAAATATTCAAGACAATGTCAAGAATACAATGCAATTTTGGAAATTTTAAATGAAATATTTTCAATGAATTTCCAACATACATATACATACATATGATTAAAGTCATCTAATTTAATGATAAGTAAATGAAAAAATGCGATTAATTTATGTGCGATTTCATAAATAAATAAAGCAATCACTTTTAATATACAAAAATAAAATAAAATATGATCTAATGAAATGACAATATTCAAAAAGTATAATAATATATTTGTCAATATATATTTATTAAATACATATATTGAATAAGTAAATATTATAAGAACGCTAATATCGTATATAAAAAAAAAAATACATGTTATTTATCTTTATAACACGAAACGTAAATTTTTTCTATTAATTTTTTTTTAAATTTATTTTATCTATTTTTTTAACTAAACTTAAATTTTTGAATTTCTTTATTTAATTTATGTGAAAAGAAAAACAATTAAAAAGGTAAATTTTTTTTTAAATTTTGTTCTTTTCTTTTGTTTTTAAACATCTCAAAACAAAAGCAATAAGTTTTATAACAAACAAAACAAAAAAAATTTAAATATATTTTTATTAAAAAGAAAAATTTTTTTATCTAATCTGAATGCATAAACTATACCTCAGTATCATCATCATCAACATTTTGTTGTCGACCACTGGTTGAATTTCGATTGTGTTGCTTTTTTGGATCAAATGCATCTACGACTATTTGCTCGGTACCTTTAATTTCTGCTCTGCAAAATGGGCATCCCTATAAAAAAAATAAAATAAAATATCAATAAAATTTTCTTTTAATTAATAATCTTTAATTACGAACCTGGCCTTCTGAATCAACTTGCCATGCATTTAAACATGGGGTACAAAGTAAATGCCCACAAGGTTCAATTCGAATATCCTTATCATTCTCTGCACAAATTTTACATAACTGAAATGTACTCCCTGGAAAGTTTTAGACGCATTAAATATATTTAAATTATAGCAAATTTTAAGAATTGTACCCATTTCGCAATATAATTCATATTGTTCTTGCGTCACAGTTATGTGATCTTCTGTTGGACTTTGAACAGCAGATGACAAATCTGGATTATTAGGTTGACCATCAGGATATAAATAAAACCCTTCCCTAAAACAAGATAAATGTAAAGTGAATATGTGAAATATGAAGTTTTATATTGAAACTTCTTATTTTACCTATGACCATCTAGTAGCGCTTGACATAGTGATTTATTTTGTGGAATTGTTTGTAAAATTTCACCATCAGCTGTAACATAACCTATTGCCCACTGTCCTAATCTGGTACATGATAGTCTAAAATAATTTGATTCATTAAAATACCTGATGACATTTCATTTTCAACAATTGGTGAAATTTAGACAAAAAATATTTTTGGACCTACCTAAAAACATAACTACCAGCTTTTCTGATATACCTCTGCAAACGTGCTTTAACTTCATCATAAGTTAAAAATGCTACATATCCAGGATGTGTTACTGCCAAAATTTGCCAATTTCTTAAAAGTGTAGCCCATGGTTGGAACAGCCTTGTAAACACATCAAATTCAAAATTTGATATATAATCATTGCACGTTAAATCAATAGTGGTTTTTAACGCCATAGCTTCCAAGCCTGAGGAAATCGGATGAACACGATTTAATTCTTGCCGAAAAATTTTCCATGGGACTAGAGTACTAAAATTTTAATAAATTTGAATTTAATAATAATTCTTTTGGAAAGCAGGCATAAATTTTACTACGAACATTATTAACTAATTTAGAAGTTTACATTTAGGAAAGTATTCCTACCTGTTTCCAAAATTGATTTTCCAAAATTCTGCTGCGTCAGCTTTTGTAATTCTAAATTGATCTCCAGCGAAGATACCATTAGGAAAAATTGCTTTCAATTCGCTAAGCATATGTGAAAAAACTAAACTCAATTTAGTTAAATTTCTTCGATAGTGCGAATTCTCATCGAACATTTTCTCTTTGCCTTCTTTAAACAATTTTATAGCTTGTTTACATTTCCTCATCAAATTATTGATGAATACATTAAAATGCTCATTTGAATGTAGAATATGCATTTGATCTTCATACTTCGAATAAATTAATCTAAGGCGTTGATAAGTGTCCGGTAGAATATCCAATATAAACGGTGGACTATTCTTTAAGTTCATCTTTGGTTGTTGACATAATTTAACTACCTTATCCATTAGTTTCCATGTTTTATCTAATGTTTTCTTATCTGTAGATAATTTTTGTGGGCCACAGGCATCAGAAAATGCTCCGTGTAGTTTTGATAATATTGAACTAGTAATATTTTTTGATTGTTGAATTCGAGTACTACGACTTGTCGCCATTTTACCTGGATCAAATAAATTTTGCCTTTCGGTGGTGTCTGACAGTTAAAAAACCTCAATGAAATTTTCTTAACACTGAAAATTAATTGGATACACTAATACACTACCAAAAATTTTCAGTAAAATAATTTGGTGCAAACAAAATTATTAAAAAGCATATTACATAAAGTATTTTAAAATAATCCCAATTTGAATTGATTATATTACATTAGTGAAATATTTTTTTTTTGAATTTTCAATAAATTTTTCTCAAAATTGCACATTATACAACGTGAATGTGTTAGTGTCATTTACGAAAAAAAAATGAAAACCTCTGGCAATTTCTAACACAATTATTTTAACCAATTCGATTTATTTTAGTTTCACTTCATTAAATTTTATTTATTTAAACATCATTTTATTGAAAAAAACACTTTTACTACGTCCTGGGACATTTTTATAATCTTAAAATTAAATTATTTTTTTACAAGTAACTTTTAACACCCGACTTAAAATTCGGAATTGATTTTTTTTATTCCGAATTGAATTGAATGAAACTAATTTGACAGTTGACATTTAGTATTATAATGATGATGACTCCATTTAATTTGACGTCTCCCTTTACAATTCATATAAGAAAGTATATTTTATAAGTTTCCATGTCAAGGAAGCATCGCATAAATATTTAAAAATATGAAATTTTAATTAATAAAATATCAAAAAAAAAAATTTTAACAGGAAAGATAATTGAATTATTTTTTCAAATTTTAAAACATTTCAAATACTTTAAATTGCTATTTTGCGGATCCGACAATTGTCAAGAATTGTCAAAAGAATATGTAAATATTTAGCAAGCATATGAAAGAGGCAAAAAATATTTTCTACTTCATTTAAAAAAAAATTCATTTTTAAAAATGTTACATATTGGAAGATTTTTTTATTCAATGGTATTATTCAATGAGGAATTGTTTGTAAAATTTCTCCATCAGATGAATGGCAATTCAATTAAATTATTCGAATTTCGTTGCTGAAGAAAAATTCGCTGGAGGGTTACTGAAGATGACTTTATTTAAAAACAAGTCTATTGAAATGGATTTCTAAAATATTGTATAACTTACAATACGGCCCCTTCTCGAGATAATATTAAAATAATATCACCCTTAGATTAATGGGTTCCCTTCACGAATAAATTTTATATTGTGAGAATATTTGATTTCATGAATAATTATTACTTATTTTTTTCCACAAGTTTTTTTAACTTTGACATATTATACTTTTACGTTGTCAAGAGTCAAATTATTTTTAAATTGTTAATAATTATAGCGCCGTCGTTTAATTTTCTTATGTGGTTACATCTCTGAAATGAAGTCCATATTGAAATATGTACATATTTCTTTTTTTTGAAATTGACAGTGACATTTCCACATGTGTTTTTTTTTACTTGTTTTTCGTTGATTGGTGCATTTTGCGGCAATTTTATGAAAATTAGGTTTAACTTTGTTTTTAAATTAATTTTGTTAAATTTGTAAATTAAAACTTTAATATTGAGATTTTTGTGATAATTAAGTTCAAGAGATATGTGGCCTAGATTTGGTGTAAAAATATCAAACAGCACTTTTTGCATTGCCTATGCTAAGGTAAGTGTTTCTATAGTAATGTAATAGTTTGTCATCTTTTTTTTTTGTAGGAGGATGGTAAAATAGAAGTGATAGCTAATAAGCAAGGGGATCGCGTAAGCCCCGCTTGCTTATTTTGCGAAGAATCTGAGATTGAAGTGGGTGTTACGGCAAAACAAAAAATGTCAGCTAAACCAGGAGTAGGCATTACTAATAATCTTCTTTTATTTGGGCCTGAGTTGGAAGATGAAGAAATCGAAAGAGCTTTAAAACTAATACCGTGCAAATTTAATAATGAAGTGAAGGAATATGAGCTTATCAAACAAGGTGAAACGAAACCACACAAAACCTTATCACCGTACGAAGTTTGTGTGGAGTTTTTTAAGGCTACTTTTGGTAACTAAATATTTGTTTTATTTGTATCGTAATACTATTTTTTTTAATACTCGGCTGTTATAGAACTAGCTAGACAATGTCATTTACATGAAGAACATCCTAGTGTTGTATTGTCAATACCAGAATATTACCCACATAGAAACTGGAAAATTTTGTCTGAAGCTGCGGACGAAGCTGGATTTCACGTTGCTCAAATTATTACAGAACCAACTGCTGCTGTCTTAGCGTATGAAATGGCAGAGGATGAGAAGCTTTCTTCTAAAATAGTTCTTTATATAAAAACTGGAGGACTATGTACAAGTTTGGCTTTATTTGAATTGGGAGATGGATTTTATACTGTTCTTAAAACCGTTGGACCTTTTTATATCGGAGGAAGTCAAATTACTTCTGCTTTAGCTGATTTTATTTGTAATAGTTTTGAAAATTGTTTATGATCAATTATTTTTATGATTTTAAATTTTTTTATTAGGCAATGAATTCTACAAAAAAAATAAGTTAGATCCAAATGAAAGTCGGCGATCGAAAGCAAAAGTAACAAGTGCAGCTGAAAATTGTAAACATATTTTAACAAGCATGCCAACAACTCAAGTCTATATAGATTCGCTTATGGATGGTGTCGATTTCAACATGCAATTGACAAGAGCTAGATACGAAAGTATTATGCAACCATTTTTAAATGATTATTCTTCAACATTAACAAGTGCTCTTAAGGAAGTAAATGAAGATAATCGTAAAATTGATGAAATTATTTTAGCTGGAGCTACACTGAAAATACCAAAAATACAATCATTAATTAATTCTTTGATTCCTGATGCAAACGTAAATACTAAATTTGCGCCCGATGAAGTTGTCGCTATTGGCTGTGCACGACAATCGTTATTCATTCATCCAGATCATCTTGATTTAGAAAATACGGAAGAAATTTATATTGTACCAGAAAATATTTATATATGGCACAATGATACAACAAAAGTTGTAGAAAATGGTATTGATAAAAAATCTAATAAATTAAATGAGAAAGATATTTTATGCGAAAAAGGAATGACTGTACCAAACGTATTTAGAATTTTTGTAACTGAAAGTAATCCTTTGCCATCTACAGTAGAAAATAATGCTGTTACCTTTAGTATACAATGTGGTGAATTTATGAAGGACATACAAGTAAATGATTTAAAATCTAAAGATGGTAAATTTCATCTTGAAATTAGTATTGAGCTTAATGATGAACATATAAAACATCCTGTTATTAATATTAAACCAGCTGATGTTGAATCAAAAGAAGAACAAATAAAAAAATAGTATACATTGTAAAATATTAGTTGAAAAATGCATTATAATGTTAAAGTAATTTTAATTTTATTAAATTATCAAATAGACAAACAATAATAACAAATTAAGAAATAAAATTTATTTTTTTATTTACATACATATATATGTGTGTATACATTTTATATGTATACATGTATATATATACATGTAATCGATAGTAGATTGTAAGATGTATCAATAAAAAGGGCCATTGAAAAGTTTTGGATTTATACATACCTATATGTATGTATGTACATATCATATAGATAGAATTTACTACAATAAACTTCACTTTTGATATTAATCCTTATAAATCTATTATACTATAAAATTCTATTCAGTTATAGGTATAGATTATTAAGGTCAATTAAAGAAATATGTAGGTATAAAAAAAGTCAATTCGAATGTTTTTTTGTTAAAAGTGATCCAAATATTTAGGTACATAGGTATGTGTGTACGTAAATGTTGATTTTAAATGTTACTTTAATTATTATGCTCTTGTTTTTTTCTTTTTTAGAAATTTATATGTTTCTTATTCACCGATTGACAATTGACCGATATTAAGAAGTAAGTAAAAAACAAAACAGAAAGAAAAACAGTAATTCAACTTACTGAATAACATTTCAATCAAATTAAAAGTAAAAAAAAAATGTAAAAAGAAAGTGGTATTATGGATTAGTAAAATATTTCTTCAATTTCAGAATTAACTTATCACTTAACGTTATAGGTACATAAGCTTATAAAAAATTTAATTTAACGTAATTAAAATTGTAATTTTGTTGCTTGAATTTGATAATTTTGATTTTTTGTTCACACAAAAAAAAATATGTATTTCTCATTGGATATTTTAAATAATGTATTTAATTACATAATACAAAAGATTATTAATGTAAAACATTTTTACAACACTCAAGTTAACATTTCCTGTTACAGAAGAAAATGTTATTTTTTATGGCCTACTTTTAGGAGAAAGATAACCTTTTAAAATTACCTATGTCGATATGATCAATTAATAAATTAAATAACTGACTTTGGCATTCTGTTAATAACAAGTTTTATCTAATGGTTTATTGAATAGTGCATTGATAGATTTATGGAAAATCATTTGTTTAAATCGTTCGTTATTCTTAAATCATATTTAATCATTAAATTCATAAATTGCATTTAAAGAAAATTTTACATGTAGGCAGGTACTATCTGTTATTTTTGTATCTGTATCTAATTTTTGTATTTTTGTATCTAACAAATGTTTAAAATTTTTAACAATTAAAAAAAAAAAAAAAGCAATTTATTGGCTTTATATTTTACATATTTTTATTGTTTACATATTTATATACATTTTATCAATTTCTATAAACCAAAATATAGTACATAATTTAAATTTTAATATATTTTAAGCTTTTAAATTATAAAATTTATTAAAATTATTATATAAATGATTATTGTATTGAATTAGTTGATTTGAAATCTCTATGGATTATATAATTTATTCTCTATGGACACTATAAACCTGCTATCAACAATATTATCATTTTTTATTGACCATTATTCAATTAATACTATATTGTAGTTTCAATATCACCATTGGTACATATTATATAGTATGATAATATCATAAATGTTTCATGCAAATATATTTTTATATATGTATTTATTATCTTTTTATTATTTAGTCCTTTTTGATCTGAAAATTTTAAAAATTAAATTATGCAGGCATATATAATTGTGATTAACATATATGCGCTATCTAGTTTATGAATATATTTCAATTTACCTTAAATTATACTTAGTTTAGCTTCTATTTTAACTGGTATATCACCTTGGTTTTGTAACTATTTAATATAACTATGTAAAATATCTATTTTTAACTATGTAAAATATTTATTTTTTTTTGGTACATTTGCTCGTCACATAAATTTTTATGATTTTTTAAAACAAAATTATTTTCGCCCTACATTTTTTTTTATAACAGTGAATTCATTTTGCCTGAATCTATTTTACAATTTCATATACATATGTACATAATATATGTTTATAGACAAGCATGTTTAAATTATCATATTTACTAAAGCTTAACTCTAACAAAGTTAAGAATTATTTGTTGCAATTTTATATCTATAATATAAGAGTAATTTTCATTTCTTTTAATATTAGAAAGTAATTAATAAAATCATTCATACATAATATGTATAATACTGGAATTACGTTGAAGAAAATTTTACACAAAAAAAATGTCTATTCATTATAATCTAAATTTTATTTGACGACAGTAAACTTGAGCTAATTTCCTATTAAAATTTTTTATCGTTATTAACATAAAAAAGAATTTTCAAACTATTTCTATCTATTTTGTGTGATTATTTTCTTTTAAACTATATATATATATATATGTTCATACTTAATAAAACTAACTTTGTGTACAATAGTACATACATACATAAATATAAATTTTTGGTTTCTTTTCTTCTTTCTTTATTGTAAGTAATTTAAGGTGAAGATAAAAAGAACAAAAAAAAAAAAAAAGGTTTCAAAGTCAATAGGTTTATCGTGTCATTATTTATGTAGTTTCCTAGATTTTCCTTTTTCTTTTCATTTTACAAAAAAAGAAAAACAAAAAAAAAATACAAATTTGTATTCTCACACTAATAAAGTCTGCCAAAGGTAATAAATATAACGCTCTTTGCTGAATTTTATGGTTAGCGAAAATATTTTTGCAATAAAATTATTAGAACACATATTTGAACTTCATGTATACATAAATACATTTTGTGTATGCAGATTAATTAATTTCGGATGGATTGTAGCTATTAAGTTGTAGCTATTGTAATTTTCGATTGAATTTTAAAATTTCTGTCTGTTTGATAAATTAAAGGTGAATTATAATTCATTTGCATTAGGAACTCTGCACGGACGTATTTGCTATATAATAATACTAGTACTACAACAATAATTATACCATACACAAGTGAAATACGCACGTGTTGACGCATAGTACTTGCTATAGTACTATACGCTATTACTATAGTACATATAGTACAATAAGGTGGTACAATATAGTACAAGTAAGATGGAAAATCTATTTAATTTATTTTTAAAATTACATATTACCTAGGTAAAGATTATAGGAGTAAAAAAAAAATTAATTACTTAATTGTAATATTAAAAATGTTTTGCATTAAAAAAAAAATTTGGATTTTTTTTTTTCGAAATTCTCCAAAATTATCTCAATTGAATATTATTTATTATTTTTTATAATACAGACTTGCAATAATATATGTATGTATGTATTGAAATTTTACAAATTATAATTATTGTAAAAAAGTTGGTACATAATATGCTATTTTCAAGTGCATATACAAAACTTGATATAATTATATACAGTGGAACCTGGTTGTATACACAATCTTTCCGGCAGAATTTTAATAGCAATGACAATAAGAACATATAATATATATTATATACGAGTATATTATAATAATTATTATATTGAACATAAATTAATATTTTCTATGTTTCGGTCCAGATGGTTCAACACATATTTTTTTTTATCAAAAATTTGTGTTTATATAATCAGAAGATCTTTGTATGATGAGACACTATTTGTTGTCCTTGTCAAAGTTTCGTGTTATTAAATGAGTTGCAGTTAAGCGTAACAAATAGAATAGGTATGAAGAATTTTTCTAATTACATGTGCGTATAAAGAATTTTATTGCTTATATGCATGTTATATATATATAAGAGTGTTCAACTGTATATGAATATAAAATTATATTTTCTATATAATTTTAATTTCTCTACAAAAAATACCCAGACAGTGTCTATTTTATGATTTACCAATATAAATATAATATTTTTATGATAATTTTGTAAAATATAAAGAGAATAAAACCAAAAAAGAAAATTTTAAGTGTTTTTACAATATTATTTTTGGTTAAAATTGAAAAAAAAAAAATTATGTATTTAAATTTTTTTTTTTTTGAACGATTTGCTTCACCAAAAAAACAAAATATTTAATTTGTATGTATGTATGTATAAATATGTGTGTACCTACATATTAATTTCTATGATTTTTTACTATAATTTTTTAATGCAATAAATTTTAAATTCAAATTTATATTTTATACCTTTAGGCAAAAATTATATGAAATTTTCAGATGAAAGTTTCACGATTTTTTAATTTTTTTTTTTTTTTTGTTATTATTTTTGTTATTATTTTTGTGTATGATGTTAAATTAGGAAAGTACATAAAAATTTTCCTACAATAATCTTTCTCAAATAGGTTATCGCGTTCATAATTAAATGTGAATATATATATATATATATATATATATATGTAATGTAATATAATATTACAATACTTTTACCTTATATATTTTGAGGCGGGTGTATATATGTATGTAAAAATTTTACATACAATGTTAAAAATTCTGATTTACTATAATGAAATTTTACACCAAAATAAATATTAATTTTCAACTAAATGCTAATTTGTAATTTAAATAAAATTTCTAAAGAAAAATTAAATAAATTTTCCCGGTAAAATGGTCTATTAAATTTCAATTATTTATGATTATTTTTTATATTTTGTGTAATAGTTATGTGATGTTTTAGGAAATTCAAAATTTTTTTTTTTTTTTGAAAAATTAATTAGGCATAATATAGTGTAGATAATTTAAATGTTATATTATAATTTATTACTTAAAATTTTATTAAATAATTTATTTCATTATCTTATTCTAATAAAGTTTTAATTTTTTAATTATTTAAGTTTGAAATTTTCCTCTATAATAGAGGAATTTTTATTAATTTTATAATTTATAATTAAGTTTATTTGATATTTGGTCTATTAACTGATATAGAATGTGTAAATCTTTTATTACCTACATTATTTTACAAGAGAATTATTAGCTTTTTAATTCTACAAGCATATTTTATTGTAATTATAATCCGCATTATGGAGTACATTGGATTTGATTGTAATAAAATGCTCTTTTTGAAAATTATTTGAATCGAGTAAGAATTTATGGTTTTTTAGGATTTTCATTATACTGTTATTATTATTAAAATTCCTAAACTATTAAATTTCTCAATCTTTTACTAGAATAAGTAAAATATTCTACATATAGTTTAATATAGTATAGTCTTATTTTAGCAGTAAACTTCAAAATTCAAAACCAAAATTGAATAAATATTAAAATACACAAGCACTTTTAAGATGAAATTATTAAAATTTATGACTTAATTTATCTAAACTTATTAAATTAATTTCGTTTTTATTGTGTATAAATGAAAAAATGAAAAAAGCACGCTACAATATTAAGAAATCAAAAAATCAATGCAATATTTATAATTTAAAGCATTTATTAATTATTTATTTTAATTGTATACTTGTATACTTGTATATATATAGTGAAATATTTATTTTTATTAGTATATACATTGTTTAAGAAAATCATAATTACGCACAATTAATATTAATTCTTTTTTTTTCTCTCTTGTAATTTTTGTAATTTACTTGCGTAAATAATTATAGTCTAATAATTTAATGGTTGGTTTTTAAAATAAAAATTTTATATGATTTTTATTAATTTTTTTATGAATTTTAATTTTTTCCAGAAAATTTTCATTAAATTTTTTGTATATTTTGGTTTTGTACAATTAATATCTTTTAAAATTTATTAATTGATAAAAAATAATCATATAAGTAAGCACAATTGTTTGAAAATTAATCAAATTTTGAATATTATTAATCCGTAAGTTCAATTATTCATATAAGAAATGTACAGACACGGCTATAATATCTAAAATAATTTTAATAGATATTAAAAAATTCCAATGAAATATTGAATTTAATCTACTATCCAAAATTTTATAATTTACATTAAATACTAGCTAGTATGCCGAACAATTGAAAAGCAAAAAAATAAAATAATAATTTTTTATATAATGAAACACGGCCCTCAAAATTTCATCAGAAAAATTTATTCTTGATGATTGCCTACAATTATGCAATTTTTTTTTTATAAAAGAAAAATTTTTGATCTATTTTTCAAAAATTTTCAAAATAATTTCTATAATTGTTATTATTTACTTTCATTTTCTGGTTTTCTTCCCATCTCTTAGGAATCAACGGCATTTTTGATAAAAATGCATTTAAGTTCATCCTTCTGTTATTCAATTGACCTTTTCTACGGCCTGAACTCTTCCTTTAAACCTAAAATTAAAATGAAACCTAATTTAATTTAATTGCAATTGATTTTTTTTTTTTTTTAATTTTTATATATAAAAAAATAAAAAATAAAAAAAATTTTCAAAAATTAAAAAAAAAAACAATTAAAAAATGTGATTAATCTAGGTAAAAAAAAAAAAAATTAAGTTCCGGAACGAATATTTTATAATTTTACATACAAATGTTGCCAGAAGAAGAGAGGTGTATATATGTAAGTGGTTTTAATTTCATTGTGTGTGAATGGCATCCCACATCATTACCGTCTTATATTCTGCATTCTGTATACATATATGAGGCATAATATAATAATTATTTACCTATATATATATCGATCAACATTATTAACTGTCCATTATACGTCTATACAGCAAAACCGAACAATTATAAGTATAACAAAACAAAATAAAATCAGAAAAAAAAAAAACCAAACAAACAAATTTGAATTTGGTATATTTGTAATAATTGTAAACCAAAATATAATGTAAAAAAATTCATAAAAATTTGCTCTAAAAAATTTCCATTTTATTGTAATACCGCGTAAGCCTTCATTAAACACATTTTGTACATAGACATACATCGTGCATACTTACAGGGTGCTTCAGATAGATATACAACAACATATATCAATGGTTGGCGGATGAAAAACACGAATGGTACAACTTTTGTTTCGTAATGGGTACCAATTCTTAAGAGCTTCCGAAATGCGCATGGTATTTAAAAGGGTAGATGCATGGTTCCGAAAAGAATAGGTTTTTTTTTTTGTATTTTTTGCATTTTTTTAAAACATAAGCATTCAAACTCTAAAAAATTTCAATTTTTTTCATTTTATATTTATTATCGCATCAATTTCTTTGAAAATTTTCTTTTACAAAATATTGACGAGCTTCTTAAGCTTCAATTTAAGCTATCAAACGTCGTAAAATGTTAAATGTCTTTTAAGGTACAGAAGATATACGAAAAAAAAAAATCATTTTCAGTTCAAGATTTTGAAGGCCATATCTCCATCAACTGTGATATATTTTGCTGTATATATCATTCCGAATCAACCTGTACATACAAATATATACAAACACATATTGTATATTTAATTTTTCTCTTTCTATATATACAAATTTTCTAATACATTATATTATTGTTGCTCATGTTTTTGTTGCTTGCTACCATAATTGCTACCGCTTAAGCAGCAAAATATCTACTGTTCAAAAAAAACAAAAAAAAACAAAAAACAAAAAATTTGTAATTTTCTTTTTTGTTTTCCTCTCATTTTTTTTTCTTTTTGTTATTATTATATATACCCATATATTAAATTTATATTGTGTTAAAATATTTACATTCACACATACTATTAATAATGGTATTAAAAGTATAATAAATAATTATGTGAACTAAGAAAATCTAAGCTTAAAATTTTTACAGCAACAATATGAAATTATATTAAAGTGTGAGTGTTTGTATATCCATATAATTTGTATAGAGTATGAGTATTTCATTTTTTTTTTTTTGTTGCAGCAACATTTTCATTTTGATATTTTTTTTTACATTTTTTTAACAAGCATTCAAGTTTCTGTGTAAAAAAAAAAATTAAAGTACAATTCAGTTCAAAAAATTTTCTTTTTATTTTCAATTTTTTTCTTTTTTTATTTTTCATTTTTTATTCTTTTCGTTGTAAAAAAAACAAAAAACAAAAACTGAGCCAATCGCTTTTTTCTTTTTCTATTCTGCGTTTGTTGTTTTTATTTTTTCATATATTTTTTCTCACTCACTATAGTCACCATATACACAATAATTTTTATTATACTTTTCTTTTCTTTATACTTTTTCCATATTTATACATACTTACATATTAAAATGCTTTTATAATAATATATGTATGTTTGTATAAATATTTACATATTTATTATTTATTATAAGGCAAAAGAGTGTTTTATACATAAATATCACATTTTCCATTCCCGTATAAATATGCATTAACAAACATACACACACTATTAATATATACATATGTATATACATAATGATTTTATAGTTTAGAGCTTGAAAAATTGAGTGGTGTTTTGGTGTATTTGAATGGTAAAAAAAAAAATAAATATATGTATTTTTCTTTATTTTTTTATTTAAATAAAAATTCGCTGTTATGGGTAAGTCTATAAATTCATAAACCTTGGCAATGAAATATCCAGTCGCATCTCGACTTTCCTTGTTGACTGTGAAAATTCAATTTTGTTTGCTCTTATATTTAAATTAAAAAAAATAAATAAAATTAATTAAATTAAAAAAAAAAAATATTAATTTTTTTAAATTTAAAAAATAAATTAGGAAAAAAAAATTATTTTTAAAAGTCAAAGGAAAGCAAAAAAAACAAACAATAATTTAAATTTTAAATACTATATTTTATTTTGTTGTGATCCCTGATCTTCAGTCATTCGGAAAATTGGAAAAGTATATATAAATATATATAAAAAAAATATTTCTATTTGAAAATTTAGAAAAAAATATTGAAAAAGAAAGGGACAAAATATAATTTAGAAAAGTTAAAATCGCATATAACACATAATATATATATATATAGAAAAACGGTATTATACAAAGTGTTTTGGTGTTTTTTTTATTTTTTGATTATTTTTATTTGTAAAATTAAAATTACATATGTACATATATAATTATGTGATAAACTCAATTTAAAAAAATTTCATTTTTCACACATTTGTTCTTTTGACAAATTTTTTAATTGTTCAATTATAGAGAGAAATCCGGAAAAATATCAAAAGAAAGAAAACTTCACTTTAATAAATTTAAACAATAAAAAATAAAAATAATAATAATAATAATATACCAAAAAAAAACAAATTAAAAAGAAGAAATTAAAAACACACATGCACATAAATAAATAAATGCATATGAACTGCATAATTTAATGTACTTTAGTAGTATAACACTCTTAATAAAACTCTTAAAAAACAAAAAAAAAAATAAAAATTAAATGAGGGTAGGTTAATTGAGCTATTAAAAAAAAATTTTATAATAATATGTAAACACAAATATACATACATATATTTACTATTATATGCGGAATATTAAATTAAAATTATTAAAAGTGAGAAAAAGAACAATAATAACCTTTTTGTATTTGACATTTTAGACGCCAAATTTTTCATTATTTTTTTTTTTTTTTTTGTTTTTTAATTCAACATAATTATTTTTTTTGTACAAAAGGTATATATTATAAAAATACCTACTTATAAATATACAAAAGTTCATATAAGATTTTAATAGAATATATACATATATAGTAAAAACAAAACAAGAAAAAGGCGAAAAAAAAAAAATAAAAAACAAAATAAAAAGTGGTGCATTTTCGTTATTACAATTATAATTTTTTTTTTTTTTTTGTATAGAATAAATAATTTTATAACGATTAATAAAAAGAACCGTTTTCAAGTAGATGCATTTTATGCAAACACACATATATACATATGTATAGATATACATACCATATACAGTCTGTAATGTTGTATAACATTGCTCTCTTTATAATATGTTGAAATTTCCGCTTGAGGTGGTTTATTAAAAATTATTAACGGATTTTTATACAAAAAAAAAACGAAAAGAAAAAATCTCGCTACCTTTTTTTTATAACCTACATTATTATTATGTATATGCATATAATACTTTTATATGACATACACACATTTACATATAAAAAAATGATTTTGTTATTCAAATTTTTATTTCAAATTTTTTTTTTTTTTGTCAAATTTCTTTAGTAAACCGACTTCTTGTTATATTTATTGAAATAAAGTGTAATAGGTACCTTTTATGTATGTTTTTTTTTATTTGGAAACAAGGAACAGTAATTAAAAATATATGTAATATAATTAAATTGTTAAAAAATAAGTAAAAAAGAAAAATGAAATAAGAAAAATATTATAGAAATTTTATGAATCGTGAAAATAAGAAATTTATTTTTATTTTTTGTATATTTTTTTGGTTATATCACAGTTATAGTACATTTGTATATATTTATATTTATTCTATATAATATACTTTATTGACCATAATACGTAAAAATGTATGTACATAAAATATGTCACAATTATTTGATATTCGACATTATATTCGATTAATTCAAGGAAAAATAAAAAAAAAAATTTATATCCGTCATTTAATTTATGAAACATACATTTGTAGCTATATAAATGGCCCTTGTCAAATCTTGTCAATCAAAATGAAGATCTATATAATGTCAAATTGATTGTATTCAATAATTTAATTTTAATTGCTATTATAATTCCTCAATTTTTACAAAACTCTTAATTTTTAATTGAAAAAAAAATAAAATTTTTTAAAAATTTTTTTTTTCGAACAAAATTGCTATATAACAGTTATACAATTAAAAATTTCTAAATATTTGAATTAAAATTTCGAATTTTTAATAGAAAATTACAAATTGCATTCTGAAGGGTATATACATATTACATATTTCTGAATATATGTGTGTGTGTATATTATCTTTATTATATAAAAATCCATAAATGACAAAGATTTTTTAATATTGTTATATGTAATTTACATAATAGCGTATGTTCTTATGACATATATGTCATATACATGTAAGTAAGTAATAGGTATATTGCAAGAATAATAGTACAGAACGTGACAATTTTCGAAATAGATTTAAAAAAAAGAGCAAAGAATCAATTTGTCTTTTTTGTTCTTTTTTTTTTCTTCACTAGGTATAATATTTTTTTAGTTCTTCTATTTCATTTTCATTAAAAGAAAATAAAAAAAAGCAAGGAAAACCCCAATATTTCTATGAATTTTATTTTGTTTTTTATTGTTTTTTTTTTTATATTTATAAAATAAATGTTTTGTTATTTTAATATATATAAAAAAAATCTTTTAATTTTTTTTTTCCTCATAAATATTTTTTGTATGTACAATATAAAAAAGTAATATATATGCGATCGTAATAATAAATTAAAAGTGCAATAACTCTTTACTGATTTTCTGCATCAATTATAAATATTGTTTTGTTATTTGATTTTCGAATATTTTTCTAAAGTATACAGAGTGAATTTAATATATATATATATTCCATAAATATATATATGAAATTGAATTTATATGTACAATATATAAATAAATAAATTTAACAATTTTATATATATACAAATATACAATATAATAAAAAATTTAAACAATTTTGTGATAAAATTTTTTGACAAAACAAGTCATTGATTTAATTTTGTTTTCTTCAAATTAGTTTTTGTTTTTTAATTAAATTATTAAATAAAACTATATAAAATTTATTCAATATGTGGAAGGAAATTGGTATTGCAATAATATTTTTAATCTGTGGAATATATTGTGAAGGTAATTAAAATTAATTATATTTATAAATTAATTATAATATTAGAGTATATATGTATTTATAATATTCTATATAAATTAATAATTATACAAATTTAATATTAAAAATTTGCCTATATAATCGTTTAAGCTTTTTTTTATAATATTGCTAATTGTTCTTGTCATATAAAAATTCATTCACAATGAAATCAAAACGAAAATTGAGAATTTAAAATATTTTGAGATATAGAAATGACAATAATAATGAACGTTTAAAGATTTGACATAATTAGTTAACGTAAATCTACCTATAATATAAAAAAAAATATTATTATGTATCACGTAAAAATTGATTCGCTACTTTTCAGCTACATAAAATCAACAATTTTATATAATACAATACAGCACTATTACAATAGTACTATAGTACTGTAAAAATAGTTATTAATCGATTTATATATACAATTGAGAATATAATCGATTCTTTATTCTTTGACAATTAATTTGTTGTTCAATGAAATATTCTAGCTATATACTAAAATTTTCAGCATTTTATATTTAAACACTAAAAGTTCATTTTATTTTTAAATTATTTGCTATTTTAAGATGCTCCAAAGAATTTCAAATAGTTTTATAATTGCTTTTAAGCTAATTTATATATTATATAAGCAATAAGTTGAAAATATTATTAATTATTTGGAATTAGCTTAATAAAAATAATCAAAATTCCAATTAAAAATTATTTTATATAATTTAGAATTAATCGCTACGATGCATAAAAAAAATTCTTATCATATTATATACATTTTAATGTTATATATTTATATATTCCTTGCAGAAATCATTATTACAGCAAAATTATAATTAGTATATAAAATTCTAATTTCGTTTTATTTTTTATAAAAAATGTTTGAATTTCTCGAACCATATAAGTAATAATTAATAAATGAAATTGCACAATATTGTTATAAAATAATTTATTTTAAAAAGAGTAAATTTTAAAAAGGAATTTCGAATTTCAAATTGATAGAATTATAATTTACAGTTTTAATATAAATTATTAATTAATCACAAAATAATATATGAACACGCTAGATAATATTTTTAAACGAAATAGAAATAAACCAATTTTCTGGTGTTTGAACCATAAAAATATTCTTATAGTTTTTAGCAGAAAAATTATTTTATTGCTTTAATAAAATAATTAACATATATGTATATAGCCATTACAATAACCATTAGTTTAGAATTTTCAAGTTTTCTTATTTTTGATAATATGTATATGATTTCTAATCGGTGAACAATTTACAAAAAATTATTCCTATTAAAATTGGCCTACAGGGTAAACATAAAATTTCTGACTATAATAAAAATTATTTTATTAAATTATTATTAAGATTGAGATCACTTCAAAATGAATCCTATGCGTTAAAATCCTTCAAGTATAAGAAGTATCATTAAAAAATTTCATAATTAGAAAACTATAAAAAAAAAATGATTTCCTCACTGTTTTACACCCCAAATAAAAAAAAAACTGAGATGCTACGGAAGGGGTTTTATGACCCTGATAGAAGCCTAACGGTTTGAGGTGGCTGCCATGCTGCAATTTTTGAGAGTACTTGATATAATGCTAATGTAGGTGAGAATGGAATCACAAAAGAATTTATGGGTCGAAGTGGGAATGTCCTAAGGGTTTCGGTTCCTTTCAGAGGAACAAATTCATCGCCTTTTTGAAACACATTAGATATGGATGTACAAATTTAATATATTCGTGATTTTTAAATTCAAATACTTTAATAAGATTTAGTTTACTGACTAAGTCCAGTACAAACTTGAAAGAGATCAATATTAAATATGATTGAAAATTCATTTTCTATAATATTTATTAAAAAAATTAATTAAATATTAATTAATAAATTTTTTAATAAACATTAGATTAATTTTTTTCCATGTTCAATTTATTTTTTTTTTCTTTTAATTTTATTATTCATTTTATTAATTATGTACGATTTTTAAATCTGTTTAATTCAATTTAAATTAATCAAACATAATTTTTGCATTTTGTATAAATTTAATATTCAATAATAATCATATTAATTTAATTACTATAAAATAATTATTTATTCAAGTTGATTTTTACAATCCGATTAACACCATACTACTATAATATAAAATCAATTAAACTATCAAATATCAATAAATTAAAATTAATTAGATTTTTTTTATAATATAATTAATTTTATATTCAATCTGAATAATTTAATTTTTTATTATAATTCTTAAATCGCAACTTTTGATTTTTATTATTTGATTAGAGGCATTATAAAATTTAATCTTAATACCGAACGCATTGCTTGCGTACAATAAGGCATATCGAATTTTCGATAGAAACAGATTTTTTTCATGGTAGGAAAACGTAAATAAGATATTTTTAGCAAGATGTCAGTCCGTCGGTCTATTGACCTATGTATATCCAAGCGTATATCTCAAATTCGACTAAACCGATTTTTAAATGAAAAATTCCATATGATTTTATTTCGGCTATCACATATTGATCAAATTTTATAATATGTTAGGCCTCGGATTTTCACCGATTATACATATCCGATTCTCACCATATCTTATGAAAACTAATTGACGAAATTTTTTGAAATTTAATAATTAAATTTTGTGTACTACAAAAACAAATTGACAAAATTTGCAAGGGATTCGGATGGCACAAAGCGAAATTCTAACTAATAGTCTAAATTTAATTTTTCGAGTTGTCTTAACTAAAAGCTTACTAACGCCTAATACTAAAAATTGGAAAGAAGTGTTTAAAAGCCATTTTTATAATAATTTTGTGCAAAATTTTCGCTAAACCAGACAAATACACTTTGCGCTTGGTCATGTGCTGGCCACATCAGATTTTTTCTTTGCAATTTTTTAATTTTTTTTTTTTGTCTATTAAATTGTTAATTTATTCAAATCGTTAACTTTATAAATTGTATCTACATATGTTTTAGTTTTAGTATGTAATTACAATGGAATTAATTTTCTAAATTAGGTATGAATAAATTTTTTTTATAGCCTGTTAAGCGAATATATGGAGGAATAACATAATCATGTGTTTTTGAAAGTTTTATCAATAATAGCGATTAATATTTGGAACTTCTCAACACAGATTTTGCCATATACCAAAATAACAAAGTGATAAAGTCTTTCTAAATATGCAAAATTTGATTGAGAGTTTTGTTTTTTTTTTGCTTTGACTTTAAAATACTTTCGCTTCCATTTTTTTTTTTTTTGTAATAAATTTATGAAATTTAATATAAATGAATTTCGGTGAAGTTCTATCAGAAATTTTTTATAGGACAACAATAGATGTGAATCAGACATCATTTTTAATAAATACTTAACAGGTCAGCTTTTTTTTTCAGATTTTTATATTCTTGCCTTTCTTTTTTTTTTATTCTCTCGTGTATAGCAGTAAAATTGTATTCATAAATTTTTCAGGTAATTTTTTTTTTCTCACTTTATTTCGTGGTATAGCAATAAAAAAAAAAATATATAAAAATGGTCAAAAATTTCTCAATGAACCACTTAAATAAAAAAATATAAAAAAAATGCTTAATAAATATAATTGTGTATATATATAGAAGAAGTTTATATGGAAAATAATTTTATTCATTACAAAAGTGGCATGTTTACAGTTATACTCTTGTATATACTTGCTATATAAATGTATAAAAGAGTGAAATGAAAAATATTTTATAAAAGATTATTTTATTCTTAGAAAACTCTTAAACGTTTGAGGCAATTGTATATAAGAATATTTTCTAAAGATGATAAAATCTATACCTTAATTAAGTTTTTCAAAAAATCATGAAATCAAAAATCATGAAATTCTTATTAAATCGTGTTATGTCTAATAATTTTATAAGTACATGAGATAAAAATACAAATAAAAGAAAAATAAAAATTTGGAAAAGTTAAAATTTCTAACTATATCGAATAATTTTAAATTACAATAAACATTCTTATGCAGAGATTATATATGTAGCTCCCGAGAATTATCATTTCATTTAACAAAATAAAAAATTCACATAATTATTGTGCGTCTACGTTTCTTCGCTTAATTAATAATTTTTTTTAATATGTGCTCTATAAATTATAATACTATGAATGGGAGCGCATGTATCATATATATTAAAGTCTTGGTCACCTTTATAATAACTATACATTCGAATAAGTTATAATAAACAATACACTACATTCGTACATAAGAAAATTGCTATTATATTAGTAGTTTTACGATATTTCTACTTAATCAACTATTACTTTATTTGTAAAAGTGACTTTCATTAACATTTAAAAAAAAAAAATATCATTTTCTATTGCAGTTAATTACTATAGTTACAATAGTTGAAATTTACAAAAATTTACGTGTCGGGAAATTACCCTCGATTGAGGATGGTAATAACTCTTCCAAAAAAAAAAAATGGAAAAGCAGTGATTAGAAGCATTTTATGTATATGTTGTGTCTGTTTACAAAACCTCTATAAACGCACTAAAGTATAGAAAGCTGAAATTTTAAATAGATTTTAAGTAAGGAAGTAATCCCTAAGAGAAAATTTTTGAAAATATCTCCCCCTTTTTAAAACGGAGGAAATGACTTCTTCTACAGCATAGTCAAATGTCGGTTAAAATTTAATTGTCGATTATCTGAAACCAGTTATTTCCAAATTTTTAATATAATCCTCCTTCTAGAAAGAAAGTTGTAGCTGTGTGAAACTTTAGTAGCTTTTCAACACTAATAGCTTATTTCCTAAAAATTCTTTTCCAACTCCATCTCGTGGGAATTTTTGCGTACAATCAAATTCAAAATGAAAAATGAAATTCAAAACGAAAAATTATTACTTCTATTACATTATATTTAATATTATACAACGATCCTTGTAAGATAAACTTATATATGAATTAGAAATAGCTCTTTACATGTATATCAACTATAATATTTCATTTCGTTTTGAATAATAAAAAAA